GCTTCGGAGTAAATCCCCTTGAGACACGCTGGAACGGTGTCAAACTGTGACCTTGGGTACTGATCGAAAGTTGTAGTGGATAATGAAGGTTTTGAGTTGGAAAACAAGAATAACATATGGCCCCATGGGCCCCGTTCTAACTTGCCCCAAACACGGGTTCAGGGAAGATGCTAGGAAGCAAAACAGTAATTGAGCAAGATGGACAGTTGGCCCAGTGCAAAATCTAACAATGTCACCGGCGGTTGGTGGCTGTATTGAACCTATCTGGAAGGTTGAAGTCAAGGCTTGTAACATTGACAATACTCAACGCAACCTAGTGACAAGAAACTGAACAAGCTTGGTCTTAGTGTACACACAGAACCTTCTCCAAAAGAAGCCATTTGGCCGGCTCCGCTTCCTGGTAGAATTAAGAGCATACGGAGATCATATTCGTACCGATGATCATCGATCATCAACTAGTACCTATAAAAGGTAGCACATGAAGTCACGTGATAATCTGTGAGATATTAGCATGTATGTCACCACCTCCCAATCGCTCGCAGGCATATTGCCCCGAAGTCTTACTGACTCTCGACGGCCAAAGCAGTCACTGCCAAGGTAGACGGATTACTGTGAGTGTACTCACTCTTTTTATTTGTGTGTGTGCAGTGAGTGGTATAACCGAGGCTTGGCTTCAGTGATTAGCACCTCCCCGGTAAACTTGCTTTGGGAAATCATTTCCAAGCTGTACTCTTATTTGCAGTACACGCAAAGAACAGGTAACTACAATAAAAAGAGGGAATGCAGACTCAACGTAGACCTAGAAGGTATGGGGATATCATCGATCCAGATGAAAGTAAACTCGAGAGAACTGACATTGAAGGTGATCAACGTCAAGGACGAAATTTTGGCAGCCGAACGCACAATTTAGGTGATCGGGTCAGTTAAATGGGGATGCACGTAGGAGAACACATCGTTGCGGAGGTCAACAGGACTGAGCGGAGAATCGACAATGAAGATCTAAGCAGAGTAAGGCGTGGGTGGCGCCAGTCACTGCTCCATGAGGAGTGCACTGAGGAAGCACCAGATCGCCTGTCCTAGAAAGTAGAGAGATGGAGACAAGAACCGAGAAATGAACACTAAAACGAACTCGGCGAGATGTGCACGCAGTGCCATGGGTTGAAACATGTCAACCTGGGTGCAGCTGAGAGTGGCTTACTCGAGACTCCTTTCTGTCCGTATAGCTTCTAAGTCTTATGTAGTACATGGGCGTTATGCGGAAAGTCCTAGCTCGTGAGGCTAGCCATTGTCCGCTGCACAGTTCGTAACTGGCACGGCAGTGGAAGATGAGCCGGGCTATATCTTAGTCAACTGTCAATCACGCAGGTCCGCGGCTGTCACCCTTGGCGAAGTGGCACTAGCTGCTGGCATCCTGAAGTCATGGAGGCGGAACCTGGCAGGGGTACGGTGGGAGGTACATCACTGACGAGACCCAGAAGGTCGGAACGCCGGCGTCTGGTGCTTTTCCAGACTAGCCTAAGCCTGCTCATTGGGAGTGACAATGAGGAAGTAGCTGGATAAGAAAGAGTTCATGCGCACCTAGGCGAGATCATTAATTCCACAGCTGTTAGGCACACACACGCATACATACTAGCGATGCACTCCAAACAATCGAACACTCCAGCTTGATGGAAATGACGATGAAACCTAATCCGTCATGGACCGCATCAGTTACCGGTCATGAGAAGTTAGGCCCAATGACACGGCTGTGGGCTTCACAATGGAATCGGTTGACTAAACTAGTCTCAATGTCACCTCCTCAGGTGCTGGAAAAGGTACTTCTATTAGGTGAGGGGAGATGCAGAGAAAGTTTTATGTGGTGTGGACCACGCATCGGTAAGTGTCGCTAACGAATGACAGCCCAGACACTTATTCTCGCTAAATATGGGTAGTGGCTTCCCAAATTTATTGGATCAATAGCTGCATCATAATTAATGTTCACGCAATCAAAGGCTTTCAAAATTAATCACTTTACGTTAAGCCACCCAATGGTGTTCTTTATCTAAGTACTTACTGTTTCGTGGCGGTTAACGGGATTGTTGTCTAACGGTCTTGTTATCGTCATTGCCACCTATGAGCGGTTACAGCACGAACGAACCACTTCGCCATTCTTGGCTGTTACACTCCAATTAAAAAGAAACCATGTGGTACCGCGACACTAAGACATCAACATAGTGATTGCCCGCTTTTAATTGATGCACCAGTTCTATAGTAGTATCACGAACACTGCATCAAGGTGATATATGACCACCGCTTTGACATTTTGTTGTGACACAGATCACATAACCTTTAGCTAGTGGATACAGCCCCAAGTCAGCGATGTGCGGTGCATGTCGTCAAACTGGGACCAGGTAACTCTGAAGCAACGCACACTAACAGATCCGAGGCAGCTAGAAGCGGGTAGCATGCTTAGAAATGCGAAAAATCGACTGGCTTACTTGTCTACTCATGAGTAAGCTAGTTAAGCTTAGAAAGTTGAACATTCGAAATACCCCTTATAGCCCACCCCGCGGTTACAAGTCGCTGTGAACGTCCACGTGCCGTGCGCTGGGCCAAAGAACCAATCATGCAACCACCAAGACTAACCCTGAAAAAATGAAATCGAAAAGTATACTGATGTTGGAGCTGATTTTTCTAGTCCGATCCACACCATACGGCAGGCACATTATTCGGGGTGTCATACCCAACGCGGAACGAAGACATCACTCGCATTATCGCGCTGCATGGGGGTACATACGCTGGCTAATGCGGAAACGCTGGCCGCTAGCCCACCACTGATACAACATCTGAAGAAGTAGACACATCGCACACAAGAGATGAAGGCTTGAGTATTTGGTGGACCAATGCTTCAGCCTACTCCCTTCACGCGTATCGTGCATACCTCATCACAACAATAGTGAGCAGAACGTCGGATGTAGCCGAGATGGCGCCATCTGACGTGTATGCACATTATCGACCTGAACCGCTACACTAGTCGGGCCACCCTCCGAAGCAATTTGAAACTACGCACTGTTATGATCGGTATGATGAGGTAATTTAGCTTGGACCGTAAAATAGTGAGTAACCGATACTATTTCATTCTGGGGCCTCACTAAGAAGAGAGAACAAGTAGAATAGCGGACATGTGAGATAGCTTTCTTTGATGTTCGCGCGTCAGAATGTAGTCAGTTATAGCTACATGAAGTTAAGGAGATGTTACGTGGACATTTAGTGTGGGGTGATCGATCGGTTTAGTTCAAACACAAAGGTAAGTCGATAGACAGCTGTTTTCAACTGGTGAACCATCTGATATTAGCAGGGTATTGTCTGGTTTCTAAGTGAATTGGTATCTTTTTCGAACCGGGCATCTTTGGTTATATGAGCGATTGTGGGATGAACATACTCGGTTTGACGGAGGAATCAATAATTGACTATGATCGAAGGGATCACTGAGCTAAGAGTGTGCAAGCCCCACACATTACCACATGCGGACGTCAATCGTAGCATAACTGAGGGAGGAAAATCACGAAGTTCTCTGCGTATGCCTCGATGGTGGTCACACGATTCCGGAACTATCACGTGACTGCCATTCATCGATACACGCACTTTTCGTCTGTCGCCTACCGTCTACTACACAGGTTGTCCAGTCTGCGCAGCGAACTGCGAGCGAGCAAATGCTGGACACTAAACGACTAATGTGAAACACGGGGTGTATTTGGATTCCTTTTTGACGTGCAGTAAGCTGCGGATGGAAATGATCATTGTGTGACTTGATTGCGACACGCAATATACATTTGGAGCGTAGCTAACCTTAGCGCAAACATCTCGATCACTTGGAACATGAATGAAGCTGTCCGTGGATTACAAGGTTAGAAGTAAACAAAACGAAAAGTAGTCATTTCCGCAAGTGGTTGATGGTCCCATTTCGAGGGTGCGCTGTTTTAGCTCCAAGCTATTTATATCACCGTAGCGGAGTATGGCGGATATTGTGCCCGATTTCAAAGCTTGCCCGGTCAGATTGTGCTAACCAAAGTGGTATTCGTCTAATCTGCGTTGCATCTAAATTGCTCGCCGTCCTGCTTTTAAGGAGACTCAGCCTAGTAAGCGAACAGTACATACGCGAAAAGCAAGCTGGGTTCCGCTCTGGCCGGGAATGTATCCATCACATCTTTACTTTCCGCCAACTACTCGAGCATCGCCAAACATTCGACAGGCCAACAATCGTTGTCTTCTTAGACATACGAGCTGCGTTGACCGAGCTGTTCTCTGGAGCTGTTTATTCAGAAGAAGAGTGCCTGAGAAGTACAACATTCTTCAAGCCATCCCCTCTCGAACATCGGGCCGAGTGCTGGTGTACGGCGAACCTTCGCCTCCCTTTAGTATCACCAGTGGCGTGAGACAGAGCTGCTTATCATCGCTCTTCATGTTCAATTCCGCGATAGATGAGATTCTGGAGAGCGCTCTGGAGAACTGCGGACCCAGCGGCGTTGAGCTGCTACCGAGTTCGGGATTTGGAGTATGCAGACGACATTGCCGTTAGTCGCGATTCCTCACTGGCTGACCAAAATCTTCTGTGCAAGTTGGAGATGTCTGTCTCTCAGTATGGAATGACTTTCGCTCTATCCAAGTGTAAGATCTTCGTACAGGATTGGATAGGAACTATTCCCACTCGTACAATTTCAGGTCATTCTCTGGAAGTGGCAGACAAGTTCGTTTACCTCGGAAGCTGCATCAGCGCTAATCGTTTAACGGATAAAGTCGATTTGCATGTCTATAAGGCCCGGGTTACGTTTATCTCTGCAATCTCTAGCCTCGACGCGACTTGAGTCTATTCTTGAAAGGCGGATTCTACAATGCAACGGTGAGAGCGATCCTGCTTTACGGTTGCGTGACTTGGCCTGTTCGTGCAAAAGAAGTTCAAAGGCTATCTGTTTTTGATCACGGCTGCCTTCGGAGCATTTCTGGAGTACGGTAACAACATTACATTAGTAATGAGGATGTTCGTCGAAGGATTTTCAGATTAGACAGACTTTGCCGGCAGCTGAGCTGAATAATTTCAATGCATTGCACCACCGGCAACCCTTACCATAATGGCGATGTGAACCGGGAAACTGGATGTATCGCATGTCGGTGCTCGGTTTATGGTTTTAGACACGACAGAGAAGAAGAACGGCTGAGACAAAAAAGCTGTGGGTTAATTTAGGTGGTAACCAGCTGGATGTCATGTGATGTCAGGGCACATACAGAAACCTAATGAATCAAAAGGGGTAGATATATGTTTACCCTAGTGACTAGGCAATTACCTCACTTGGACCGAGATGAGTGCACCGGTAATCATCCAATGACAAAAGAAACTAACGATATGAAATTTCTCGACATGAAAAGTAGAAATGAGCATCATACTTTGGTAATAGAGCCAAAATATAGTGGAAGAACGGGGAGGGGGCAAGTAGGAAAAATGGGAGAGGGGGGAAAGTTTCCAGTGAGAAGTGAATAAAGAGGGATGGAAATTAAACACCAGGATCAACTAGTAAATAGGCATTTCGCAGACAAGAATTGAATGCAAAGCTGGGCTTTTCGGCTGAACAGTACGCGTGTGATGTGGATCAACGCCGTTTCCAACCCGTGCTGTACTGAGAAGTTGACCAATCAGCAATGGGAACACCAACTGGACCATACTGCCGTGCTGATGTACGGTTGAATATAGGCAACAGTTCATCCGCCTCCGCTGCATTACGCTTAAGGTATACAATGGCATCTGTGCCGTATCCCTCGACACTGGCTAATATAAGGTCACCGTTGAAGTATCTGGCATACAGGCGGCTTAAAGGGAGCCCATAACCATAGCCTGCCAACGGGGCATTGGTCCCTTGCTCGGAAGACGCAGGATTATTGTCACGTAGCTTCGACCGGCCCTTCGCCGTTGTATATGTGTAGTTGAATATATACTCCATCACCGAACGTGGAACGCCTCCACCCAAATCGCTAATCTGGCAATGCAAAATGAGCATTGGCCTTTTAAGCATGAGTAAGACAAATATTTAAACAAACCGCTCAAATTGAAAGCAACGGTGCATTGGAGCCAATGTGAGACAGAATACTAATGAGGTGGGGGCTCCTGGAATAAATGCCTAGGATAAAACCTAAGAATGGAATCCTATCTAAATGGTGAGTTGCGTTGCTCAACAACAAGGATCCTTTAACAATAGTTGTCGATATTACCAAAGAGAAGGTAGAAAGTTTGCAGCATGCAACCCAAAGCCTACTTGGCTCAAAGCAAGGTACAAAAGTCAAAAAGGTGTGTTAGCTACAAACGCAAACAGTGCGGGAAACATACGTGGAAGATGTACATGACATACCTGTACAGTACGACATAACCACAGAAGTACGCAGACCGGAGTACATGAAATGAATACAAGAGATCAGACAAAGCGCAACCATAGGCATCACAAACGGCGTCAACCAGCGCTCAATAGTCGGCTGCCGAGTTGCGTTGCCTCCGAACTATCATGCATACTACCTATTGTCAGACGAAAAAGAGAAGTAATCAGCGGTAAGGTAGGATGAACTGAAACGACTCAAACGATCAGACGTGCATGCGTAAACTCAGATGCGATCGGTCTGTAATCACGCTGAGATGAATACACCATTTGATCCGTTTGGTTAGATCCGCTCTGCTCGGAGTCAAATGTTCTGAGGTGGAGCAATCCGCTAACTTTGACAGCTAGAATAAAGACGGGGGAGTTTATACGATCCGTGTAGGTAACAGGGTTGCAGCGCTACTCGGCCGAGTACCAATGAAATGATCCTCCCATGGGCCGTCGTCGTTTGTCAACATTATTATCAACACCGACGGTACTAAACGTGAACTTTGAACACATGCCCAACCGTCACATAACCAAAAATGATCCTAACTAATCAGGAAGGGGAGAGTACGGTTAAGCCTAGATGCTTCAACGCAACATTCAAGGGCAATGTACCTAACTCTTTCTATCGGGTGAAGCGAAAGCGGTATTAGCGAGGCGACCTCTCTGTGGCTTCATTCATCCCAGGTTAGAATAAACAATGCCATTGCAGATAGTTTGGCGTTATATAGGCTTTAACGAAGCAATCAGAGTAGGAGGACAACAGACACACTGTTGGCGCCGGTATTGAGTTATGCACTAAAACCCTTGAGACGTTTCAACGAGGCGTAGACCTCCTGATGCGGATTATCCTACGGAACCAGCTTCTAAGCATCAGGTAATCCACAAGCTGCTCGGGTGCCTCAAGTATTGTAGAAAAAAGCGTGTTCGGGGCAACTCCAATTTGTGTACGGCTCGCCCACCTCGTTCGCCAGTGGCAAATAGCACTGTTAGATTAACTGCAACTTCGCGTATTGAGGAAACAACTGATAGTCAAGCGCTTTCAAAGTCGGGCTCGGGCCTAAGCCAGCGTGCACAAGAGTATGGCTGGAATTTCTGCAAGTACGTCAACCAGATCGGCCGATAATTCTGGAGTGACATGCACCGTTCACAGTGGATGTCGATGTGAAAAATGACTACAGAGAAGTCAGTCGGTGTGAATGCTTGTGTGAAAAGGCTAGGTTGCAGATAACAAGATGGTAGCCAGCAAGCACCTGGAGAAAGCAGCCGCCATGATCAGCACACAAAGCATGGACTGACAAGCAGCCGGCAATAACAACAACACATTAGCCATTTGAACGATGCTTCGCTGCCGTACAACCACGGTGATCTACAGAACGACAAATAATATCAGGGACAGAAGAGGGACTTAGTGTAAAAATTCAATGACTTAAACAAACATTCAGGATCAAGGCGTCTACACCGTGTTGACAACAACGTCACAAAAAGCTGGCTATAGTGCAAAGGTAAGGTGCATCAGCGAGACAGGTTCCTTGTGACTTTCACTGCCCTATGTCATAATCAGCCATCACCTCACATATAAATTAGGACAAAATAATTTAAACTGGCAGTCTGACTAGAATAGGACAGCAGATACGCCCCTGGTGCCGACTGCGAGCCATGTCCGGTAACGTCTCGAGCCAAGCACAAGGCGGGTCACGTGGACTCCAGCTTGGTAGGCGAGACGGACTGACGCATCGAGCTGCCAAGTTAACTTTTGCTCATCCCGGGCATTGCGTCATCCTACATCTGGCAAACAAAATGACGCCCTCTTCGGTAAGCGGCATGTGTAGTACGTGACCAAGCAAACGCAACTTATGCACTGGCATTTGCTGCTCTAAGGAACTACCACTCGCCTGCGCACATCATCGTTGAAAACACGCTACTGCCATCTGACACATGCAATGCATTGCAGACAACGATGATCCAAGACTTCTAGGCTCTTCAGATCGAAGGGGCTAAGCTTCACTACCATAGAGCAGGACGGTCCTCACAGTGGTCTTGTAAACAGGACCGTTCAGACCGATGGACATCCATTTCTGGTGCCAAAGAGGTCGCAAATTTAAGAATACAGATCCAGCTATTGCAATACGTGAAGTGACTTCACTTGCTATGAGCCAATCGTTGCTGATGCAGCTGCTAAGGTAAGCGAATCGATCGACCATCTCGACCTTTCGTTATCAAGAATCAAGTGGTCATCAACTGACTAGTGGTAATACAGCAACACTTTGCACTTTGAAAGTGCGAAGCAAATGCCAAGTGATAGGATCACTCTAGAGAGATGGTTCAGGGCTGACTGGGCCACTCCAACAGCGTTAAAAGTAAGACAGTATCGTCCGCATAATCAAGATCAGCTGGCTTTTCACCAGGCGGAACCACAACGCCTGCACCGTGAGACTTCAAAAGGGAAGACTTCATGGTAGAGTCCACGACGAAATTGAACAAAAAAATGGAAAAATCGGACAACCCTGATGAACACCACTTGTGGTCGGAAAGCTATCCGACAGGTCACCGTAGATCCTGATGCAGCCTGTAGTGTTCGAATACAGATCACGTATATCATGTGAACGCCTATCCATGCAAGTATCCCTAAGAGAATGCATTGGTCGAGCGAGTCGAACACACTCTTGAAATCGAGTAACATAGCCATTGTCGGCCTGCGGAACGCGTGGCACGGCTCTAGCACCTGCCGCAGTGTATATGTGGTCTATACAGCCAGGTCCAGGGCGCAAACCTGCATGCTGTTCCTAATCCGGGATTCCCGCTCCGCAGTAAAGTGGCGGACGAGAATCGAGGCCAGTAATTTTGTCACCACCGGCGTTAGACCAATAACCCTATGGCTAGCACAGTCGGTGCGACTGTACTTCTTGTATATTACTTCTACAACTAATTTACTCCAGTTAGCTGTGACGATATCTTCCTTCTAGACCTGTTCGAACCGAAGTCAGTGCTTTGCAAAGGACCTCACCTCCATGCCTAAACAGCGCCGGGTGCGAGTGAATCCCGGCCAACAGCACGAAAACGATTAAAGGCTACGATCGCGTTTCGGAACTGAGCTTCCGACTGAGTCTCCAAACTAGTTGGCTATGGCTCAGCTTGCAACACTTTAGCAAGAGGAGGTCCAGAAAAATGGGGACAACCGAACTTCAGTCAAAAGTGTTCCGCTCAACGAGCCACACGGCGCTCTATATCGTGAACCATGGCACCTGCGCTGTCTCTGAGTGTTTCACTGATGCCGCGTTTCCTAGGACCAGTGATGCGGACCAGCTGGTGGAGCATGCGGTAGTGGCTTAATGCTCCCGTCTCCTCAATTTCTTGAGCGCGACTGGTCCATCAAGCTTGTCAGCACGCAGGCTACGCTTTAGCTCGCTTAACAGTCCGTCTGGTCACATTGTGCCAGCCAGGAGCTTTTTCTGGATTCAGTTTCACGGACCTCTCAGATATCCAGTGACAGATGCGGTGACAATTGATAGTACCGCAAGCAGAAGCTTCTGGATGTTGCATGGCGGCCGATATTCTATTCCACTGAAGCGCAGTATCATTAGGACAAGAGAGCGAAAGTTCGGTACACAAAACACCCTGGTAGGCTTGCCTGACTGAGAGTTGAGATAACTTCGCAGTTGCTAATCGCTGCAGAGGCTTGGTAAGTCTCCCGGTAAAGGTCATGGGAAAACGACAGCGTAGTAAGGCATGATCAAAGTAGACGCAAGTATTCAAAAAAGTGTGACAATCCAGGATGGGACCATACCACCAGTAACTTATGGCGACGCGACCTATTTGGGATGGATTGCCATCTACAGGAGGACGCCAAGAGGCACTTCGGCCCTCAATGTGTCTAAAGGCGGTGCTACTGAGTAACAGCCGGTGCTCCGCACACAGTTACAAAAGACGCTCACCGCCGTCCGTACGGTCGGGGTGAAACCCATGCCTGCCACCTAGCTGAGCTTGTGAAGAGCCTAGACGACCTATTTGTGCATTCATATTCCCTGCTGCTGCTGCTGCATCAACAACAACATTTGAGTTGGTAACACTGCAAAGCAGCGTTCATGGTAGGTGTCTTTGGTAGCATAAGCGCAGTTAATTCAACAACCTCATGAGAGTCATTGATCCTAGTTTCGGGCACCTAACACGCGTTAACACCCAGCGTGTCTAATATGCGTGCAAGTGCAGCCTGTCGACCAAGTTGTCTTTTACAGTGCGAATGTTGGATGCTGCCAGGGAAACGGGACAGTGTGGCCTTATAAGGAGCTGCTGGCGATTAGTGAGTGGTGCGAGAAAATAGCTGCAGATGATAAAATTGCAGTAGCATTGCAGTTTCTGTCAATTAAGCTGTGTATTATAGAAGGTAGGCTAGTGATAGGGGTTGGGTAGGGAGCAAAACAGATGGACAGAAAGAAAGGAGAGGCCCGCGGTTGCTTGTCTTCGCCTATCTGCTCTGCTGTATGCCGCAGATAAGGGGACCCTTGAAATGCTACACGACGTCCGATGCAGGATATGACTGAAGTTTGAGGAACTAGTCAGGTTTGTATGTGGGCTTAGGTACTTCCAGAGAACCCAGACCTAGACAGAAGAATGATTAAGGTTCTCAACCAGACTTTAGCTCAAAAACCTGCCCACAAGGTAGCGGATGTGGTAACGATCTGGTTTTACAGAAATGGACGCCATCACACTTTAGACCCCCAATCTGGAGGACTAAAAGATTGAGTTCTTCTGACCTCTAACCATTAACCACCCTGGTAGAAGTAGCTCGCAAGGAGCCCCCTCAATTCTATGGGTCGACGAGGTACGCAAACCGCCGCATCATGTTAAGGTCCAGTCTCGTTGCGTCCGAACGGCTAATGAGGCTCTCCGTGCTGTCTACCTGGACCCGCGTTGTAGCACTGTGTGTAGGTATGTACTCTGTTTGACCGCCTAATAGCGACCGACTTGACAATACATGTCGGAAATGCAAGGATATCCGCGACTCTGGAATCCGAAGTAGGGATGAAAACTGTGATGGGGGCTGGAAATGTTGTAACGCCGATTGAACGTCACAGGCCAGACCGATAGGGAGTGAGCAGGTTGACAGAGGCAGACTGGTCAGCTAATGAGGAAATAGTTGGCCGGTGATCGCGTCCAGCCTGTAACCGTCCACTGAACGTGCAAGTGACCAATCAGGCGCCAGCAGACGAAGGAGCGCATACTTGTGCACCCGTGAACCAAGGGTTGGGGCATTGGACCGAGGGAAGAAGCGCGCGGGCTCAATCCCGCCAATCGTACATCCACTAAGAAAGTTAAGATGATTTTAGACAGAGTGAACGTGGCAAGTAAGCATAAACCAATGGAAAAAGAGCCAGCGACACAATGCAAATAACAGGGATGAGCCATTGAAATGGACTGTTGTAAATAGTGTATATACTCTATAAATATTCGAGCGTAACCTGAATAAACGACTTCGTGATCGCGGCCTAGTCTTTTTGCTTCCCGGAGGGCAACACGACAAAAACTATTGACGGAATTGATTTTTGGCGGTTTCCGAACTCGGTGTTTGTCGCTTCAGTAATGTAAGCAGAGGCGATGAGATAACTGCCCTCGACCTATGATAGAGTTCAAGCCGAATGTCACATATGCAGTTCTTTAGATGTATAGCTTAATTTGGTTGAACAACTATGGTCCGGGCATTGAAGATCGGTGAATCCATTTGCAACAAAGCTCGTTCCAAAAATAACGCTAAGTAGCAACAGGGAGAAAATGAGGCATAACTTAGACAAGATACAAAGAAAAGAGAGTTAGGGGGCGAGTGGGTAAAAGTGACCAAGATGGAACATTAACAGAGATTCAGGAAACAAATACAGGGGCGCCCCCTGACTGCGCAACTGCCTGAAGTCCGACAGAATCTTTAACTCCTGATGTGGACTATCCCGACGCCTATATTCGGAAAGACGGCAAGTGCCAGTCTAAGCAAATTTTTCGGTCAATTTCCTCGCGTCTGTATGCCACGCCATCGACTGACCAGCTTGTGGTCAGTCGACCAAATAGGTGCGGCGACAGAGTATATGGCACAATGGGGAAGGAAGGAGGTGATGACATAGCTAACGTAAGCGGTTCAAATTTGACAGACGCTCCAGTGCGATGTCATAAGGCTTTTTGCTAAAAACCAACTGGTGCACCTCAGCATTACTCACCCAGTGTTTCCACCAGATTTGGGCAATACCCCGCAAGCCCCGGTGCTCAGAGATGGTATCTTTAGTGTAAAGCAGTCGGGGTTTAAATTCGTACGGTTACCTTGACGTTACCGCAGCGTTATGCGTAGTATCTCCCATTCATAGCCTGGTATCCTGCTGTCTACATGGAAGAGGATTACTAGAAAAACCACACGAGCATTACCGATAAGCGGATTACACTCTCCAGTGTACAGCCACCAGAAGCAGCACAGCTACTAACGTAAATGAGTCAACTGACCGCCTCCAGTCCTGCAGCAGTACTTTGCACTAAGAGGATGCGAAGCACACGATGAAACGTGCGGCGCTAAGCATCCGCCTATTCGATGGTACATATGTAGTCGATGAATCCGACCCATGTTGTTCGTATACCCAGCCGGTCATCTGGCTGGAATTCCGCTCCGGTAGTCTGAAAGAACAGAGTCACTGATGAGCATTTAGATCACAATGTTGAAGAGGAAAGTTGTAGAGCGACGTTGGTGTATCTCAGCTGCTGTGGAGAATTCAGCAGACAGCTTGCTGTAGATCCTTACCTAGTCTGAGAAGTCGCAGCACCACAAGCTGATGGGATCAAAAGTGACGAAGGCGACTTTCACGTCAAGAAAAATCCCCATAGTCGGCCCCAGCAGCGTCTCGAGCCCACAGTAAGAAAAGCGGGGACTGTCAACTCATTGGAGGTTTCGTCCTTACTAACGAAACTGACACTGAGGTGCTCCCACATCCCGTTAAATTGTTTCAAAGAAATTATGATTAAATTTCTAAATGACGGAATACGTTGGGGACCGATCAGGAAGTCACCGTTCAGAAGGCCTAATGCACGACATGCTAAAGTAATGTTAAACGCATGACGTTTCGTTTTTGACACAAAAGTTTCTTCAGGCTTTTGTGTTAAGAGCAAAACGTCGGCTAACAAAACAGCAAACGGCTTACCTTAATAGTGACGTTCTCTTTACCGGCTGCAATCAGTACGTCGACTGGAGGGAGTGAAGCTGACTGGTTGTGTGTCTCCGCCACAGCACGCATGGCATTCTAGGTAAAAGAAAAAATAGAAGAAAAGCACGTCAAATAAGAGTAATGAAGCCGAAGTAACGCTTTGACGACACCACATCCACCGTGGCTCTAAAGGAGCGCACCGGGAATAGGCAGTGACCAAGCTAAACATTGGAGCCAATATTGGTAACATACAAAGGGATTTAAAAATCCATTAAGCTATATATATATATATATATATATATATATATATATATATATATGGGCGGGAGAGCCCGTGATGCCCTGAAGCTTGTGGTTACGAGATGCTGACAGATCGACGACCCGCTACTGAGGATATCGTGCTGTGGGCTCATGTCCTGGACGCCTCTTCGTGGCTACCGCTGGGTGGGAGTCCGGTTACACTCTTCTAGCTAAGATGCAGGACACAATTCCGCGTGAGTCGGTTCACTGACTCATGGCGCTCGGCCCGCTGCTATTCGAGTGCATACTTTATCGAAGGCTTTGGCTGAGGACCCGAGTCGTTCTTCTGTCAGGTGGGGACACGCCCTGGCAGTATCCTAGTCCAATCCCCAACTATGAGTCACGCCAATAATAATAAATCCATGCTGCATTGGCGGTCGCGCAGTGGCCTTGAGAAAAGCGTCGCATATCTGCTGCATACATCGGTGTAGATAAGTGAAAACATGCTACTGATAGCGCCCCTTTTTTTCTTCTTTCCCTGCACATACTCTCTCCGTCCACGGTTCATCAAACGCACTACTTCCTCCAATTCAGGACATCACCTCTCATATGCTTTCCCACCAAGCCTCCGCGCAAAGCGCTCAACATCGGATGCTGGAACGTGCCCACTTTGTTCTACCGGAACAAAAGTGAGAGTCCTGAGCGACGCAGTGTAGTGATCGCGATGGAACTGGTAGTAGGTAATAGACAGGTAGGCACCTTGGAAATTATTGAGAATACCTGTAGCTCGGGATGTGGATGAAAAGATTGTCCTGTTCTCCGAGCTGGGCGTTTCTGTTGCAGACGTTTCGTTACCAAACTAGGTAACATCTTCAGTGCAGCTATTTGATGCTGATTCGCGCAGTCTCGCAAACCAATGCCAGATCTGAATGGCTATTGATTGTTGCCTGCTTCGAATGTCAGCGTTCGATCGCTTCACGTGTCCGTCATGTGGGCACCTCTTCTCCTTGTCGATCTGGTGCCTAACGCTGGCTTAACCTGCAGAGCTTCATAGACACCCTCCAGCTCCAGGTGTTTGTTGATTGAGTTCCGGCCAGAATGCCAGGCCTCGAGGAACTCACGCGCTCTGCGGTTTCTTGCTCTTCCAAGTATTGCAACGTTCTCCAGATCAAACTGGTGGTTCTCGGCATCCATGTGTACCGACATTAAGGATTTCTCATCGTGGCGGCGGATGGCCAGACTATGTTCGTGCAGTCTCGTACCAAGTTTTCTTCCAGTCTGGCCTACATAGTACTTCTCACAGTTCTTGCAGGAAATTTTGTAAACCACACCTGATGTTTCTTTCTTAGACAGTCTGTCCTTTACCTTAAAAAGTTTATTCCGGATGGTTTCCGTTGCTTCGTGTGCAACAGTTATCCCGTGAGGCATTAGAAGCCTCGCTGCCATTTCAGAGATCCCATGGATGTAAGGTAGGATAATAGTTCTTCTTTCTGTTGCACATGTGGACGCGGGTGGTGACTGGCTCTTCGACATCAGGCAGCGTAGAATAAAGTTTCTAGGGTATGAATTTCGCTGAAACATGTTAAATAGGTGGTCCTCCTCCGTCTTCCTCAGTTGCGGCGTGCTACAGTGTGTCTGGGCCCGTTTGAAAAGCGTCCTCACGCAACTTCGCTTGTATGTGGTCGGATGGTTACTGCGATAGTTTAAGATCTGATCGGTGTGGGTCGCTTTCCGATAAACTGTTGTTTCCAGTGACCCAGAAGCATGTCTTCTCACGAGCACGTCCAAGAATGGCAACTGATCATTGTTCTCTTCCTCTTTGGTGAAATGGATGCCGGAAAAAATATTGTTGATTAGTTGATGTTACCTAGTTTGGTAACGAAACGTCTGCAACAGAAACGCCCAGCTCGGAGAACAGGACAATCTTTTCAGGTAGGCACCTTGTCAACACGCACATCAAGCGCAGCCACGCCGATGATAACAAGCAACAGACAATCATTTGAAACGATAATATCAAATAAAATAAATCGAACAGTGAATATAGATACCGTGACATAACTCTTCAATAAATGAGCATATAAAATAAATTGGTTGCTAAAATAATTCGTCATAGGTTCAAGACAGAAAATATATTTTAAGAAAAGGTCACAAACGTGAAAATGTTATCAAAGTTAACTATAATTAACTTGTGCGGCTTGTGTTAGTTAAAAGAAGATACTTTACGTAGACATTAATGAGACAATGCAACGAACCCACCACCTGAAATAAAGAGACTCAGTATGCAAGCAAGCGGTTAGTAAATCGAATGCAGCGTCCCTGCAAACGCTGTGCCGGCGTTCTTTGCAGGACCCGCCGTCGTTCCGGTGTTGGCCCCGAATGGCCTCGCTCATGGCTCACTAGACCTGTCTGACTCAGGCACTCGAGACCGCATGTGCTACAGCACCATGCGCTTGATGTCGATGGAGTACAACCCATCGGCTCTTGCCGCTTCTCCACATGCATGAGGTCTTTCTCCTGCACCTCGGCAACTGCCTTCGTGATCAGATCGCGCCATACACGCTGATCAACCGCCTTCGATTCCAATGATCTGCAATGAAGATTAGAACGTGCAAGACTCACTTTGATCATGTCCTGGTAACGTAAATGTGGTTTCCCCACATGCCGCTTCCCAATACTCAGCTGACCGTATAAGAGTTGTTTCGGTATCCGCGTCGAATCCATACGGCTCACATGACCAAGCCACCTCAGTTGTCTCAGCAAAAGTATGCAGTCCACTGCATACACTCCACTTTGTCGCAACACTTCCGTGTCCGCAACTCTGTCGCCCCAACCGATGCGCAAAATCCCTCGCAAACAGTGCGGATGGAACCGCTCGAGATATCGCACATCCCGACGGTACATCGTCCACGTTTCACTGCCGTATAGAAGAACAGACAGCACCATGGGTTTGTACACCATCAGCTTCGTGCCAACGATAAGCCGATAGTTGTTCCATACTCGGTACTCTACCTTTCCAAATGCCGCCGCTGCCTACGACACGCGGAAACGAAGCTCACCGTGTAGCTGCTGGTCAGTCGATATCATACTCCCAAGGTAGCTGAAGCGGGAGGTGGTTTCTAATACTTCAGCACCATTGCAGATTGCACCTCTTGTGAAGGCTGAAAGAGACAGACAGTTTTGCGTGTGTTGATGGTGAGCCCAAATTTGGCCGCTGTCGAAGCCAGAGCACTAGTCATGTGCTGCAACGCATCCGTGCTGTGTGCAAACAACGTACAGTTGTCAACAAACAGCAACATACAGATAGTTGTCTCACAGACTAGAGTTCTCGCACCGAAACGATGGATGTTCAGCAACCCACCATCAATACGGTGCTCCACACGAACACCGCAAGCACAAGCGGCATTAAAAGCGCAAGACATTATTGCATGAAGATAGAGATTAAAAAGGACAGGAGCTAAGACACAGCCTTGTTTCACACCAGAGACAACTGCAAAGTCAACTGAGGTCTATCCACTCAGATGCACCCTCGCTCGCATACCACAGTGCAGACATTCAAATAAACTTACAAAATTGTGCGGGCAACCAAACTTACCCAACACCAGCCACAGTGCCTCGCGGTTCACCGTATCAAATGCCTTGGTGAAATCAACAAAATACGAGTACAACGGATGGTGTCGTTCTTTGCACTTCTCTTGCAACTGACAAGCCGCAAACACCATATCTATAGTGCTGCGACACGAACGAAATCCACATTGCTCCTCCGCCACGTTAGGTTCCACAATCTGACTAACGAGGCGGTTGAGGAGGATTCAGGAAATCCCCTTGTGCACACAACTCAGCAAGTTGATGCCACGATAATTCGTGCAACATTGCTTGCTCCCTTTGCCCTTGTACTGTGGTAGCTTAAGGGCATCTTTCAGCTCAGGAGGCACCTCCTCTCCAATCCATACACATTGCACCGAGTGGTGCAGCGCAGTCAACAACGCGGGTCCGCCGTGTTTCAATACTTCAGGCGGGATCCCGTCGGCACAGCCACACTTGCAGTTTCGCAATTGAGCAAGTGCTCTCTGCGTTTCATCCAGTCAGTGTTTCAGCAAGACACATCTTCACTTCTTGTTGTCGCAAGCCGTGCAACCGTGTCCAATCTCTGAAGGGTTGTTCAAGAGACAATCAAAGTGCTTTCGTCAGATCTGCATTATGCTTGTAGTCTGTGTGCAAGTAGCACCTGAACTACCACTGAGTAGCATCCTCAGCGGATTCAATCTCGGTCCATACACCGTGTTCAAGGAGTCAAAGAATTCCTTTCGTTGGCGGCTTTCGGCGTAGCATTCCATCTGCTTCGCTTTCTCCGGCCACCATGCATTTTTAATGCGACGGAGCTCTCGGGTCAGTCGTCGTCGAATTCACCCAAACTCTCTGTTCCCCCAAGTTACTGCGGTCTGCCACATGTGCAGCAAATGCTGCATTCTTCTCAGACACCAATGCGTCAATCGTCGCATTATTCTCATCATACCAATCAGGAAGCTTAAAGTTTCCGAGCCCGACGGTTTCCTCGGCAGCAGCTGTCACTTGGTCGCGTATGTGGTGCCACAGGTCGCCCACTGTGGCTATGCAGTCCACATCACACAGGCGTGCAGCCATCGTCGCCTCCAGCTCAATACGTTTCACCACAGTACCGAGGGAGAGAATGTCAAATTTATGCCGATTCACGGCGAGAGTGAAATATATAGATTCACGAAATTATATTTACAGTTTGGTCCGAACCAATTTGTGATCAGTGCCACACTCAGCTCCACGCAGTACACGTGTCATGCGCACTTCACGCATATCACGCTGACGTACGATGACATAGTCGAGCAGGTGAGCGTGACCACTCCGTGGGTGCGTCCAAGTTGCTATATCACTCGCACTCAGTGTAAGCCATATGTTCGTGATCGTCAGGCCGTGAGTGGCACACAGTGAGAGCAACCGGTCACCGTTCGCATTCGCTGAACCAATGCCATGCGAACCGATAACATCTGTCCACACCGATGCATCACGCCCAACGCGCGTTGAAATCACCCAGCAGAAATAGTCGGGCGCTCCTCGGCACAGACCGTATCACGGAAGATAGCTGAGTGTAGAATTGATCACGCGTGTCATCAGGATAACACATGGTCGGAACGTACGTGCTTATAAAAGTGGCAAACTTACCTCTCCCGAGTCGTAGGCGAACAGTCATCAGTCGCGCACTGATGCCTGTTGGTTCACCCACCAGCTGGCCATGGAGGCGATCGGATATTGCAAATTCGACCCCATGATCACGTATATATATATGGCCCCGTTCCCCCTTTACAGTATTTGAGTTCCTGCTTCCATAACTTGTTTTATTAGGAGAGGGAAGGGGGTCATTGTAGCTCGCAGGTACACGTCCGTTACTGACGTCAGTCTTGAGACAGGACCATCAAGTCACTACCCAGCGACGCTCCGCATCTCTGAGGCCCCCACCAGTGAGTTGAGAAGAACTGCCCGAAGTCAACTACTTCGTTGACTTTCTCATGCCGTTTCTCTAAGTTGTAGGCTGTCCACCACGTGGGTTCCACATCCCAAGGGTTGAATGCAATTAAAACAATCGGGTTATTTTAGAGTCTATGTGTGCATTTAGCCAGTTTTTCAGAGGTTTTGGCGATAGAGCTTCTCTATCATACGGCCCGAAAACGAGAGAATGCTACTTAGAACGAATAAGAGGAGCTCAGCCGGGGCGTAGTATAAAACCTGGAGACCGTAAGCAAACAGGTAGGGGCAAAGCGCCCACCACATGACAGTAATGCAGTAACAGCTGGTAACCTTACGAAAGCATTGATGCGACAGACTGCATGCGGCTATCACTATCGCAAAACATAACTACTCCCAATGCACAGATAACTCGGAGCGATACAGAATTTAAACAACAGTAAGTGGATCAGCGGTGCCGACTGTGAGCTACGCCATGTGAGGCATGGAGTCACTAAGCGCAGACCACAGTTTGGAGAACGATGATTGTCAGGAGCACACAGTTTAGTAACCTGTGATTTCCTTCCCCGCTGCCCACCCAAGGTTTGCGTCATAGGAAATTCACGCTGTCATAGATGGGGGGACGCAAACGAGACTCGCATCGGTAAGCGGACGTTATTCAGCACATGCCTGAACCAACACAATTTGTTCACTTATAAGTAAGGGGAATTTCGACGAAATTTTATAAAGTACATCGGAGCAGCTCGAAACCCAGATAGCTTTACCACCAATGCGGGAAAGCAAGAGACGGTCGTTTCGTCATTGTGTTCAGCTCTGCACATTGTAGCAGCGGAAACCGAGGTGTTGTTGGACACAGTGACGGGGATGCGAATGACATTTGGGATTTTTCAACCGGATGAAGGGCAGAAAAGCCCCTACCATGATACTGCACGCACGGCTTTTAAGATCAAGTGAAAATTTCCTATGGTATCAAAGGTGATGCGGGTTCCAGAGAGCAGTCCTAGCTGTTACCTTTGGTGGGTTCTTGTAGCAATTGGCCTTGAAATGCTCCACAAACAGTGGAAAAACAAACGCCCACACAGAGTACAGTCTAGCTGAGCGCGCACCGCATGATGGCTACCAAGTTCTGCCTTCTTCAGTCATTGGAAATTGTCTAAATTGGATAATCAGCTTTCGGTTGGTATAAACCAAAAGCATACGACCTCACTCGCATAAGACACGAGGAGACGGGTCACATTCCTACACTGACTCTATTTATATAGCAGATCAGCGAGGACAAAGGGCGAGGAGATCGGGTATCTCAAAATAAAATAACCAGTGTGCACAGATCGAGAGGGGGCAAAATAAAGTTGACGCAGTGAAGCGAACGGTGGGGAAATCGCTCGTTTACAAGATGATCCCTGAGTGCTTTATTTCTGCCCGCCGGACCAAGGAAATGATCAGAATTGCGACGAGATCGAACGGTAGGTTAGAAGTCGACAAGTCTTTCTACTAGATTTTTAGCGAGATGAGGTGGGAGAACTTTAGAGATACAGTGCACAAACCACCATCGAAGTTGATGTGACATCAGGAGCTATTGTCTTTAGTACAGATTGATGAGGCAAGGGTGAATTAGGCAGTGGTGTGATATAGACCACAGGGAGAATGGATCCCAGATAGAATAAAGGCGTGCGTTCATTGGGTGTCCGTGGATGCGTGTTATTCCCGAAGCAACGAGATCCTGGAAGTGAACGAGGGTGTAGTGCTTCAACCTCCGGGTTGTTTTCAAAATGCCGTCAGTGCAATGCAGCAAGACATTTCAGTAGGGTATTGAAGTCCATGCACACATTCTTGATAAATAACATCATACAAACTAGAGCTTAACCGAGTGGCGTTACAGGTTCAACATAGGCTGCAGAGTGAAACAATGCGAGGAAACGCATTCTTGATCCAGGTAAAGGGGGAAACACATTGATACCTTGTAAAGCAAGCTCCAAGTGGATGCTGTGGAAACACCGACGGTGTATCAATGCCAACCGGGAGAGCGGAAGCATAATCCGGACAAGGATCGTAACAAACTGTATCGTGCAAAAACACGCCTAGCCGATTCACAGAAATACCCTTTACGGACATTTCAGACGTACTCCTCAACAAGGAAAAAATGCGCAATGCAAAATGGGCGTAAGGAGAAGTGGGCAATGGAAGTGGTGTCGTTAAGCCTTATTATTACCAACCGCGGTTAATGTATCAAACGGGTCTACAGTGGGCCCCTAACACAAGGCTTATCTGACATCCCAAAATTGTCTATGCTGACCCACAGCAGAGGGTGATCCAGCTATCGCGAGGGCATGGAGACGTTTATGCAGTGTTCAGGATGTTTACACAATCTCTTAACATTAACTGACATATGCAGGCATTCATACCGAGCCTGGATAAACAGGCGATTAACATCCGCTTACTGTGAAATGGCTGGAATCCCTAAGACAGAATGTCATCACACTGATCGACGAGGACTTTACTGATAGCGCGGCCTGACAATGATTAGAATGGTCAGGCCTAAGGAAGTAAACGCATTGTGTCCATATTAGGGGGCCGGAATAAGAGGATGCCATGGTTAAGCTCAACTGGTGTAAACGTTAAGTTACTTTCGGTTGGATACTGAGTCAGAAGTAACGATACAAGTGGGTGGGGATAACTCATCGTAGCCAGAACCATAGCACACAACGTTATCCCTCATCACACAAAGACATAATTCAAGAAGCGATTTGTTCCAAGTGGACCAATGACAAGCATTTGAATGATGAGCGTGAGCGCGCTAGTCATTGACAAGAGAGTCAATAAGGCATCACGGTCGATTGACTGACATTACAATGTCTATGTCATTCATGATGAGCCAAGCTCAGGAAGTTGCGATGGCGTGAGAGCCTATGGTTATAACAAAAAGCTGCTTACTATAAGGCCGAAACAAAAATGGGTCTTAGTGATGCGTGTTCTGGATTACGCGACTAGCATGGAGAATGGCAACAGTACTACACGAACGTCTTGTAATCATGAACGAACAACGGCTTAAAAATCCATGGGTTTCACAGTTAGTCAAAAACTCACCTTCAGTAATTCAAACAAGATATGGTACAGATGGGAAGGGACGTAGGCGAATTCGATTTTACCATCTGAAGCTGGATGAACGTGAGGGGAAAATGTCGAGGATAAGAACATTAAAGCATACTGGTATGTGCGAGAACGACATGAGAGATAAGCGGCTACGATTTTGTTAATGATGGCATGAAGCAACTGCTGAACTAAGCAAAGTCACAGTGTCAGTAGTACGTCGGCGCGCTGCATCAATGCTACGCAACTGCAAGCGGTTGTATAAGGACTGGGGCGCTACAGAGACATCACACACAGAAACCGAAGGTCGGAGTCGGGGCCCAGAGGATACAAGCCAAATGACTACATCACGGGACAATATACAAAAAGAAACACTATTAAGCAGTGTCTTATTAGCTTTTGCGTTCAGTTTCATTTACATGGCGGAAATATCCCGCTTCAGAGTAGCCTATCACTGCGACGGTGAATAGCCACGGGACACATGTCCACATGCGTTACAAACTACAGGGAATAAACTGGGAGGCAAACCGGTGAGAACCATGACTGTCCAAGAACTTGTCCACATGCACACAAAACGCATTTCACTCATGGGTACGCGATGTAACATAGTGGTAGAACAGGGTCATGCCAAAGCTCAGACACCGTGAAAGAAAGGAGGGAATGCACGAGTACTGTAGTCCAGGGGGAGCGACGACTGACATTCACAGCTGTCGTGACATGTGGAGGCTTCAAGAATAACTACAGAAAGAATTCTTTCAGGACATACACCACCGATGTAGCTAAACTGAAGGCGGAGTTCGGTTCCTCATCCCAAACACACTTTGCCTTCTTTCAACACTACTGAGTCTCCTACTTTATTTGATTACCAAAAGTATTTACAAGGAGCTCAAAATGCTGAAACCAAAGCTAGCGGACTGAATGCTTTAGCAGCAGTCGCTTTGAAAGAATGCACACTGACAGATATCTTGAAGCAATGCTTAGCGAGTGGTATCATACCCGACATTTGGAAATCAACCAGAATAACGCCAGTGCCTAAAAAGGGAACACGGAAATGTCGTCTAATAGCGTACACTTCCATACTGCTAAAGATACTGGAAAAACTACTGAACCGCAGCAGTTTCACAGGCAATCATACTGATGACGTGAAACAGTTTGCCTAGAAATCAGAGCACTCTACGCTGGATGCAGCTTCTTATTTGGCGCATTCCATTGGGTTCGTGTTAAATAATAGATACAAGAGCGTACGACTACTATATTTCTCGATTACACCAACACCTTTGGAAGCAAGGGAGGCAGAATGTGAGTAAAGAATTCTTTTCGGTAATTCTCATCGGACTCAAACACTACATGATGACGAGAATGCTAAATATGCCGCATTGGACTGCATATTGAACAGAATGTTTAACTTCAACAGGAACCAAAGAATTGTAGAGGATCGGCGACGCGCTAAGAGCAAATGGATATCCAGATAAATTCATCCTCAAACACTTGAAAGAACGTAAGATAAAACCACCGAGGATGAACGTAGCCAAGAAAGAACTAATTGTGCAGATTCCTTTCAAAGGCGACAGTGCGGCTGATGCCCTGTCCAAACGCCTGAAAGACGCGGATGAGAAGACCTATTTCGCGGCTCGCCTACGCACAGTATTTTACGACAAGCCTTTATTCGCAAAACCTTTGAAGGACAGGCTGCCTCCGGTGACTCGATCAATGCTTGTTTATCTTTACTCGTGCTCCTGTGGTGCACGGTACGTGGGTCGTACCACGAGGCGCCTATCTTATAGGATTCGAGAACACATCCCAAAGTGGTTTTACAAAGGCGAAGCAAGGTCCAGTAACAGTCCCAGCTTATCTCACCTTCCAGATTGCAGTCACGTAGGGATGGAAAATGATTTTAAAGTCATCTATACTGTTCCTGAACGTTTCACGCGCGGATTCCGGATGAATCTTCTGTCTATTGCGGAAGCTATCTACATCCGCCACCTCAAGCCAGAATTGTGCGTACAAAAACAGTTTCTACGTCCTTTACTTTTAACGTGGCCCACAACTTCGGCTATGATTTCCCCTGTACATACTTGCCACTTTCAATGACCCCGTGATTTATTGACTTGTTCCTGTTGAAATTAAACATTCTGTTCAATACGCAGCCCAATCCGGCATATTTAGCATTCTCGTCATCATGTAATGTTTGAGTCCGATGAGAAATACCGAAAAAATTCTTTACTCAGATTCTGCCTCCCTTGATTCATTCTAATAAATGGGAATTTTGGATTGCTGAGGATCAGCATTCCCCGTGATTCAGTCAACCTTTGGAAGCCTCGACTGATAATTACTACTCAATCGATTGACTGAGAATAGCGTCGCTCCATATGTGTGTAGTGTGATGCGCGATTACTTCACAAATCGTATCCACTTCACATATCTGTGCGGCAAAGTTTGCTGGACTCTCAGTCATCTGTAATGTTTTGCAGAGAGCCATCCTATTCCCATTTCTATTCTCTGTCTAGCTTGAAAATCTCCCTATTCCACCAAATTTCATAGGCCGTAAATATGCTGACAACGTCGTCATACTGGGTTGCATAGCCCAATCATCGAAGACTATTTGCCACTTCAACGAGAGTTAGACAAATTAGTAACTTGGCCAAGCTTCCGGTCCCTATCTCTCAACCCTTCCAATTGTTGTGATGTAACGTTTGGTTCTCCACATCCCAACTGACTGTAGCCTCTTGTACATATCTCTACACGCCCATGGTCGTGAATGGCAAAAGCATACCTCGTTATTCTACCGTAAAATATCCCGGCGCTTTCCTAGTTCACAATTATCTTGGTCTACATATGTTCTTGAAACATGTACAAAAGTTAGAAGGCTTCTTTTATGCCCTCTGACTTGAAATGACTTCGTTCCCCGTGGTTTAGTTGTAAAGTATGTAAATGCATGTATTTCCCCTCACTGGTTATACTATCCTTCGGATTATTTTCCCAGGACTGCTTCGAAAATATTATGTCCTTCTTGCCCGTTCACTAAAATGTATTTATCGCTGTTCTGGTTTGGGGAAAGAAACGCTCATATATTTCATTGCTAACAAACATCTTGATGCATGCACCAACCTTTTATCTAAGATTTCAAATGACCTCTTTCACTCTTTACACGCCTTCCTAGCCGGCATTATAACTACTTCCTCTACACAGTCAAAATTAAAAGTATTATATATTTTCGTAAGTCATCGTATCGAAATTCTATCATGCCTTTGATTTCACGCTTACTAATCGACCCAACAAGAACGAAACACAGGTTTTGTGACAAAATGCTTGATTAAAGACGCAAAATTTTGTTTACTGCTATTAATTATCATTACTCATTGATGCTTCGTCTTATCAGATTCCGCAATGTTGTTGAGAAAATGCTGAAAATGTGCCCATACGGGGAAATAGGAATACCGGACGGTGGATAGGAGGGGGCCATTTCATGGTAGAGCTGAGCCCCGTCACTTAGACTCTGTATCCCACTTTGCCCAACCGTGATCAGCGTGTTTCTCCAGGAGCAAGAAATCGAAATGAAAAAACAATGAGCACTTTGTTAATGTTGGAAATGCGCGCACATGTATGTGACACATCGGGTCAGGAAGAAACAAAAATTTTTGTGTGGAAACATACGCAACCGATCCAGTGTATATGCCAGACGCAATAAGGAAATACATAAATAAAGAATTATGGTCGCTCGGTCGGCGATCAAACTGGCCACTGATGGTCAAATTGCCAGGTGCTGATATTATCACAATAGATATTTGATAACTAAAGTGGTAGATGAGTGAATAAAATGTGACAGTGTAGCGTGAAGGAACGCTCACGAAACAAGCAAAAGTAGCTGGGATGATGGAAGGGCTTACAGAGTCAAGTTCAGGTCATAAGAACAAAAGGCTAACTAGACGTCATATGAGCTTAATATATAATGGGTAAGGTGGCGGAGAAACACTTGCTAGTTAAAAAAACACAGGACGAATCAGTGGAACAAAAGAGAGCTTTGTGTCAGGCAGTGCGTAGAGAAATAGGGAGAGAATTCGCAAGAGACTAAAGGAAAGAATAAAGGATACAATGTGTGGTTTTGTGCGAATCCGTAGTTCAAAAACTGTTACCGACCCGTTATCTACCGAGTCAGATCGATCCGATAACACATCGGCAAGCGGTCGAGCACACATGGAAACGGAGAACGAAGCTAATGGACTTAAGGATAGCTAGCTAGTGTACAGGGGGTTAAGAAGACAGCGTGTCATTGATACGTCAGGCTTTCAGGTCAGGATCCCTCATCGTCATCATCACTACACATTGCCCAAAGGTAAGAAACATCTTAGCTACTGCGCCACGATACAAAAAGACAAAATATAGGAAGAATCGAGATACTGATCATAATGGAATACAAAATCATAAAAGCGATATAACATCATGCATCGAGAATGAAATCGTGCTTGGAGAGAGAAGAGAAGCAGGAGCGACAAAGAATCTCACAACACAAACGTCACTGATGTCGGTTCTTCGTCATGTCAACTAGTGTGTGCACAAGCAAGTGTTCATCGTCCTTTGGGCTCAGCCAGGCAGTTGGGAGACACCAACCGACACCAACTTCGGAGTGAAGGATTTCATAGCACTTGAGCAGGTTATCGCTTGGCCTCCCCTGCTCTTCTTGCATGCACACCTTCACCGCGCAAACAACACACCACACCAGAGTCGGAGTGTTGGCATGAGCGAAGCGTGACCCAGCCATCGCAGTCTGGTGCATGATATATTGGTGCTGAGCGGTTCGCTTGCTCAGCTGACACCGAACACGCTCAGTGCTCATGCGGTGTTTCCACCAGACATGTGCTATGCTGCGAAGGCAGTGATGGTCGAAGTTAACTATACTATCCACACCTATCGATCTAATGGGCCAGGTTCGCAACCGTACAAGAGAGGTGAACGGATGGCTTCCTTGTAAACTCTGCCTTTCAGAGCGAGAGTGATGTCACGCCGGCGCCACAGGTGGTAGAGATTTGGCATAAGCACCCCGAGCTTCCACTACACGTTCGTGACCTCA